TCCCCCCCCCCCCCCCCCCCCAAACTGTGCAATGTTCTTCTGCTTCAAGGATTTCTTACTAACCTGTCTGAAGCTTTGTTAGCAAGATACAGCCTTGCATGATTTCTGTGGGAAGCCAGGTGACGGTTGTATCAGCTGACTTCTGGGATTGAGAGAAACTGCTGCTTGTCACTTGGCTTCATGTTGAAACCATAAATTGCATGCAGTTTCAACATGAAAACTGGGTTTCAGCTTATGCAAACTGTATTCAAGTGAGTTCAGCATGTTGAAAACAATTAAAGGAATCTAAAGTGAAGCTTGCCATGTAAAATGGGATGTCTCTGAATTGCCTCCCTTCCCCCTAAAAATGTTTACCTGGCATCGCTCCCTGGTTCCCATCCCACAAGCCTCAGCTGATGAGTTTCCCCTGAGAGAGATTTCATATTTGAGCTGTTGCAGTGGAGGTCCCACAGGGACTTTCTAGTGCCAGCGCAAGAGCATTTAAAAAAACAACCAGCGAGTTGATGTTCTGTTGTTAATTGTAATTTTCTCTCTGGGGACGAAACCTGCTTCACTCCCTTTGTTATACATTTGTATCCTAAAGGCACCAGCAAGCAAATAGAGGGCACGTAGGCAGGTCTTACAAAAAAGGCTGATTGCAAGCAGCAGGTTGGCTTCTGTATGTATAGGTCTGATTCAGACTGCTTTTCATTCTGTTAAAGAGAGCTGTGGGGAGCATGTTCATTTACTTCTGAAACGTTCCCCCCACTTGTCCTTTCAACTCATGCCCCAGATGAGTCAGTCAGGTCATAAGATTAGTAGAGCCTCACTTCCATATGGATGTTGCAGAAGAAATGGCTAATGTTCAGAAATCAGTCACTTGCCATTTGAAACATTAAGATGATTTGTTGGATCCATTAATCAGCCATTAGTTTTCTGATACTACGTGCTTTGACAAGTTGGGACATACTTGCAATAATATCCACCTAGCCTTTAGGAATCTATCACAAAATGAAAAAAGGTTAAGTGTGTGACCGCGCATATGCATATACACACATACCCCTACAAGCACCTTGGATGAGTTTGTAACATAAGTAGAAACCTACACAATATTAAGGTTATGAAAGTGCATTTGAGTATAGTGTTCAGATATTGTATTGGGGAGTACAAATGCTGCCACAAACAGTACTTAAGTGTCACCAGCAAGGAATGAGTTTGTCATAGGAATCATTTTCCTCTCTTCTAACTTGTTTTATTTACAGTGAGTATTTATTTGGATCCAATGATTAAATCAACTCCCAGTTTATGCATACTATTTAATTTTGCCAAGTGTTTTTTTCATACAAATTGGTGTCCCAGGCTGTTTTGCAAAGTTAATGTGATTGTGGAGTTGAATAATACATGATGGAACCAGAGAGGAGAAATGACATGGAGCAGAGCTTGTTCTTGCCACCCGAGATTTGAAATGTGGAGGATATTAGAAAAGGCTGAGAGAGACAGAGCAGATCTTACAGGTGGGAAGGACCTTCAGAAAGGAAGGATCTTGGTCTGGCTGTGTGCAGAGAGAGGCAAGGCCTGTGCTAAAAGAAGGGAGGAGTGTGGAGAGACTGCAACAGGCTAGGGTTATCTCTGTGTGCTGACTTCTGTATTGTTCTGAGTATGCAGAAGGGTGCTAGATGCTTCACAGGAATGCATGAAGATACTATCTACCCCAAGAAACTTCAGCTTGCAACATCTTGCTGCACATTGCAGCTAGGCAGGGACATATATAGAGAAGAGAGAGAGGCAGTGCATCCTGGTGGGTAGGACACTGGACTAGGACTTTGGGACATGTAGTATCTAGTCCAGTTTGCAACATTGACTTGTGGCCTTGGGCAAGTTGCATCTCATCTCTTTGCTTCTGTTTGTCTCGTCTCTCTAGAGCAGAGCAGGGAGCTTCTCGTCCTGTGTGCCTGTACAGCAGCCACGCACTATGGAGATGTGATCTCAGTTCCAGCCTCCACGGGCTGCCATAAACGAAATAATGATGGCAAGTGCCAGTCTTTGTGTTAAGAACCTAATGCCAGGCTGGGTCAAGGTGCTTTTGCCCTCCATGATCATGTGAGGGTTGACGTGTGCACAGTGGATCTCATCCTTTTATCAAAGCCTGCTATCAGTTATAGTAAGTGGCTTTGGCTTGCCTCTGAGAACAAAAGTTCCCAGCCACATTCCAGTGAGAAGCTATATTGGGAATACTGAGCCCATTCTCCTGTGAATCTAAGCATGCTTATTATGGTTGACTCTAAGTATTCTAATATAGTAATGGGTTATAATGATGAGCTACTTTGGAAGCATTTGAAACATCTCTGCTTGCAGACAGGTAGGTAGATTACCCTTGGAGATGACTCCCCTTCTTTTTCTATTAGATTAACATTTGAGCCAAAGAGGCTGGAGCCTCTGGTTTTTCTCATTGTCTGAGCATGGGTCTAATTCGCATCTCAGTTCCACCCAGTTGGGAAGGGACAAGAACATATTTCATGTTAAAATAAAAACCAAAGAAGGTCAAAGCAAACTAATGGGGAGGGAGAAGTCTTTGAATTTAATCCTTCTTTGATAATGCTCTGGGCAGAACATTAAACTGTACTTAATGCTGGAGACACAAGACTAATATTGCATGATGGAGGTTTTATAATGGTTAGTCAGCCCTTCTTGGTGTCCTTGAGTGTGCCATGTGATGTCTCCTGAAATTGCTACAAATAAGAACCCTAAAGCATTAGTTTCAGGCCAGTCTGGCAGATCATTTCACTGGCTCACTGAGTTCACTTCACCCAAATTCTCCAGGGGCCACCTTATGCTCCCATTTAAATGCCAAAGCTCCCAGGGATTGCAAAAGAAGCAAATATTAGGGTCACTGTGCAAGCAGAATGCTGAATGCCAGATGTTGATTGAGGGGGCTTTTTCCTTTCATCTCGAGTGACCTTCCTCTAACCTCATTCTTCAG